TTTCCTAAAAAGGGTCTACAATACAATACAATATGTGGTCTTTTGTGATGAGCTTATTTCACTTAGCATAATATTTACAGGGCTTATCTATATCACGGCACGTATCAGTACTCCGTTCCTGTCTATGGCCACATAATACTCCATGATGTGGATATACCACATTTTATCTGGTCTTCAGATGATTTGGGTAAGTTTCCACGTTTTGGCTATTATGAATAATGCTGCTCTGTACGTTTGTGTACAAGTTTTTGGGTAGACACCTGTTTCTAGTCCTCTTGGGCGTCCACCTATGAGTAGAAATGCCAGGTCATGTGATGATTCTATATATAACTTTTTGAGAAATTACTAGACTGTTTTTCAAACCAGCTGCGCCATTTGCCATCCCCATCAGCAACGGATGACTGTTTCAGTCTCTCAGTGTCCTTGCCAGTCATTGTTGCCTGTCTTTTAAATTTTATTCATTCCAGCAGGTTTGAAGCCGTATCGCATTGTGATTTTGCTTTGCATTTACCTTTTGACCTGTTGATGTTGAGTATCGTCTCACGTGCTCATTGACCATTTGTAGATCGTCTTTGCAGAAATATCTATTTCTTTTGCCCACTTTTAAATTGGTGTAGTTGTCTTTTTATTACTGAGTTGTAAAATTTCTTTATACATTCTGGATACCAGCTTTTATCAGATACATAATTTGCAGGTACAGCTGGGTCCCACATCTATGGAGATGGAGGACCAGCTGCTGTGCCATTTTATGTGAGGAACTTGAGCATCTATGGATTTTATATGGTGGGGAGGATCCTGGAACCAGGCCCCTGTGGATATTGAGGGATGACCGTATTCTTCCACTTTGCAGTTGTCTTTGCTTTCTTTTTGTTTGCAATAATTAGGTTTATTCATTTATTTATTTTTAAAGGAGGTACTGGGGACTGAACCCAGGACCTTGTGCATGCTAAGCACATGCTCTACCACCGAGCTATACCCTCCCCCATCTTTGCTTTCTTGGTGATGCACTTTGAAACATAGATGTTTTTATTTTTGAAAAGTCTAGTTAATCTAGTTTTCTTACGTTGTTTGTGCTTCTGGTGTTTTATCAAAGAAGGCTTTGCCTAAT